TGGGCGAGCAGCAGCACTGCCCCCCCCTCACCGCAGGGCTCCAGCCCTTCTCCCCCGGGGTCGCCAAGCCTCCTTCCGCCGGGGCCCCCCGAGGGCAGGGAGCTCTGGTCCAGCCCTTGGGACAAGCGATGGGGGCTAGCCAGCTGCCCAGGCAACCTCTGCTGCCAGGCACTTACCCCTGCCACCTGTTGAAGGTTTCCCCTCATTTCTGAACTGGCAAAAATAAACGTGGGGGTGGGGGGAGGGAGAAGAAAGAAAGAAGGAACGAAAGAAGAAAACAATAACACTCCCCCCCCCAAGAACCCACCACCTCTTTGGCGCTTCCATCGCGGCGGTCATCCTTCATTTCTTCTTTTCTTGCTTTCTGGAAGCAGTTAGGGAATGTATGATGAAGCAGAAATGAGCCGTCAGGATGATATTTTAATGGCTTATATGTCACGTTGGTGCATGTGGCTTTGAACTGGAGCAGCTTTCGTTTCCTGCAGAGAGCGCGCCGCAAATCCCACTTGATAACTTCTACAACCCACAACATTTTTTTTTTTTTTTTTTTACATTCACTCTTGCACTGTATATTTAGATACACTTCCTAAAAATACCTTGACGTTTGCCTTCTCCTACATTTTGTACCGACCTGGAATGATCACTGGGTTCCCCCTGCACTGGGAGGCGGGCTAGCACTGGACTACCTAACTTCCCGCATCTCCTGATGCCATCTCCTTGAAAACTTCACCATCACACTGACAACTCTTTCCTTTGCTTCATTTTAGCACCAAACACAGAAAGTCGCGTAACACTAAAGACCACATCCACACACAGGCACGCTCCTAGAGCTGTGCTGGAACCTGTTGCTGTAAACTATTGCCATTCCTTTCCATGGATTTGGCAGAATAAATGCAAACGTGTAGCATTATTCCGGAAAAAAAAAAAAAAAAAAAGAAACCCAACCAAAACAACCCCCAAACCCGCTAAGCCTTTACATTCACTCTTGCACTGTATATTTAGATACACTTCCTAAAAATACCTTGACGTTTGCCTTCTCCTACATTTTGTACCGACCTGGAATGATCACTGGGTTCCCCCTGCACTGGGAGGCGGGCTAGCACTGGACTACCTAACTTCCCGCATCTCCTGATGCCATCTCCTTGAAAACTTCACCATCACACTGACAACTCTTTCCTTTGCTTCATTTTAGCACCAAACACAGAAAGTCGCGTAACACTAAAGACCACATCCACACACAGGCACGCTCCTAGAGCTGTGCTGGAACCTGTTGCTGTAAACTATTGCCATTCCTTTCCATGGATTTGGCAGAATAAATGCAAACGTGTAGCATTATTCCGGAAAAAAAAAAAAAAAAAAAGAAACCCAACCAAAACAACCCCCAAACCCGCTAAGCCTCCAAAGATCCAGGGGAAACTGGATAATACATCTGGTTTGAAAGCGATCTCGGTGCACCGAGCACAGGCAAACTGCATCTGCAGCTAAACCGCGGCGAAACATTCCTTCAAAGCCTATCAAAGTTTATTTGATGCTGCTTGTTTTTTTGTTTTCTAGGCGCAAAGGTAATTTTGGGGTGCCTTTTGGAAGGAGGCAGTTCTCACCCAAGAAGCGGTCGGGCAGCAGCGCTGCTGGTTTAACTGCCCAGTACCTGTGCTGCGGATTGCTGACCAGCGCCTTTAATTAGAGGGGATGAGTTTAAAGTTTCTTTGTTTGACAGTAGGAACTGGAGGGGCTCGCATTGAGTTGCGAAGGAGGCAAGTGAAGGTTTGAACAAAGGCGAAGTGGAAGGAGTCCGACTCTTAGCGAGCTTTTGGTGTTTTCGTTACTAGAAAATAATTAGAGCTAATGAATATGCAGACGACTGAGTAAATAAATGATTTGCCAGTTTTATATATGTACACACACACATGGGCACATGTAAGTATATATATGCATAGGCAGCAAAAGACCCCTATATTTTAAAGTTTCACGAGAGCTTTGGGTTTGTTTTGTTGGTTTTTTTTAGTGCCGTAGCATCGCTGAAAACACTGTACAAATGTTGCTTAGCTTAATTGATTAAGCCACGAAGTTCTTCTGCTTTTAAATACCGTACTTATACCTTTCAACAATCATTTTAATATATAGTCAATGGCTCTTTGTAGAGAGAACAAAAAAGAACTATCCGCAGTTTTTCAATAGACTTTGAGCTGGGGAAAGACAGGTTAATCGAGGGTTGCATCTAGAAAACAACCAAGTGTTGTATGTTTGCACTGAATCCAAATGTCTGCATTTTTCTAACTAAATCAAAGGGAGTGTTATTTCTTTTTCTGCTCACTCATCTGAAGGTAAGTAAATTTTCTCTGGCGATCAAAAGCCTGGTCAGCAACAAAGACACCGCCTGCTTTTTCCACAGTCCTGGTGTGGCAAGTTGAGGGATTTCAATAACTGTGACAAGGGTGACTGATTTGTGAACTAGAAAAGGTTTGAATGTCAGAAAATTTACATTGGTCCTACCGAGAATTTTAAATACAATTTTACCAAAGAGGGGGGGAAAAAAAAAAAAAAAAAAAAAAGGGAAAAAAAAAAAAGCGGGAAAAAAAAAAAAAAAGCGAGGGAGAAGTGTCCGGGAGTTTCATGCATCAGGAGGAGAAACAATGTAGGTTTGGGAAATTTACAGTTTTACCTGAATGAAAGAGACCCCGTAAAAAGAGAGAGAGAGAGAAAAGGAGAGCGAGAGACGAGAAAGAAAATAACCAAAAAAAGAGAGGTGAAACAACAACAACAAAAGTAGAAAGTTAAAGAGTTCTCACCCACCTGCGTTTTGATGGGTGCAGAAAACAAGATTTATTTCAGAAACCTGATGGAGGGATAAAGTCAGCTACCCAGAGAAATAACGCCTGGTGTTTAAAAATAAAAGGAAACGCACCCAGCACCTACCCTCGGAGAGCTTCAGTTTTAAACAAGCGGAAAACAACTTCAAAAGGAGAGAGTCCCTACAGGGCTTCTCTTTTCAAAGCCTAAAAAGTTGCTCAGTGATCTTAAAAATTCAGGATCACCGAGAAATCATCACCATCATTATCAGAGAGCTGGATAGAGAGAGGAACAGAGAGAAGGAGTGCGGGAGAGAAAATTGTCCTAATTAAAATAATATAGATAGATCTTTCCCCCCCCCGCCCCCCCCTTAGCACACGTACACACAAAAAGATGCGCTGGAAATATTTTCGTGCACGAAAAAAAGAAAAAAAGAAAAAAAAAGGCTTTATATATTTAAAAAAAAAAAAAAAAAGTTGGTG